CCCTCCTGCACTCTTGCTGGCCCAAGTGCTGCTGTGATCGTCAGTAGCAACCTGCAGCCTCCAGCCTGTCCTCCTTCTCAACTGGGTGTGCTCCCCTCTGGGAGCCTGCAGTGGCCAGGAGACCCTGGCTAGGCAGAGTGTGGTTCTGACTCAGCCAGACCCTGGGCTGCCAAGCAGGGGCCAGGTGCCCACTGGTGTCCTTGAGATCCGGGGCAGTCAGGAGGCCTGGCAGGGAGGTGGTAGGCTAAGGCCCCCCAGCTCTCTCTGACTCACTGCCTCGCTCCCTTGTTTTTCTGACCCATTAGGGGCCACCAGGTTCCCACACATGGACGCCCAGCGTAAGCTGGGCAGCAGTCAACGGCACCCTGGCAGAGGGAGGGGAGGCGCCTTTGAATCTATCCAAGAAGGGAGCTGGCTGAGGGTGTGGGCGAGGCTGAGGCAGGGCCCTCACCAGCCTGGTGGCACAAACAGGAAGGATAGCACCTCTGGTAACCAGAAACTGGTGGCCCTCGGCTGGTGGCGGGGGGTGGGGTGGGGGCAGGAGGGAGACAAGCAGGGAGGGGCAGTGTGGTGAAGCCAGGGTGTGTCTCCCGGGGGGCCAGATGCCAGGGGAGGGGCCACAGGCATAAGCACCCCATAAGCATCCCCCCAGATGCACCATGACCAGTAGGGCAGTCTCCAGCCCCTGGGAGCAAAGCCCCTTGGGCCGGCAGGCTGGCACTGGGCCACTCTGCAGCCACCCGCCCTCCTTGCTGTTGCACAAGTTTTCCACCACAACCTGGAAGCCAGGCGAGCCGCAGGGCCTGGGGGGCTGCAACTGCCACTGCCCTGGGGCTCACCCGTGCCCTACCACACTCTGCCACCAGCTGCCTGGTTCCTGTCCCAACCGCACTCTCGTCTTCCCGTGGGGCCATAGCTGAGAGAGACCAGCGGCTCTCAGGGGCCCCCGGGGGACAAGGATGGGGCTCGGTGGAGTGTAGGGCCTGGAGATGGAGCCAGGGCGCAGACCTAGTTGGTTGTGCCTGCTGCTGCCCTTCAGGGACCCCTGGCTTGGAGGCTTCGGCACCGCATGTGACCAGGCCTAGCTGTATTTGGGAGGACATGGGGTCCTAGGCTGCACAGCAAGTGGTCTGAGGGGACTGCTTGGCAGCACCCCAGCTAGGAGCTTGGGGTGACCTGGAGGGCCACTCCAGACTGGCCTTATCTGGAAGGCTTATCTCTCACTTGGAGGGGCCAAGTAAAAGGGGAAGGAACTCGACCTCCGGTCAGCCCTGCCGCCAGACTGGCTGAAGAAGGGGCCTTAGGCTGCATGTACCTTTCCTGTTCCTGCCACAGACGCCAGACCCTGCTCATCCACGTCAGGGACCAAACGACTCCTTCCCTTTCCAGCCTGGAAAGCCCCCTCCCCTCGGGCTACAAAGAGGAAGTGAGTGAGTAGAGCCTTCCCAGCCCCCTGGTACCTGAGCCCAACCCTCCTGCTGCTCCGGACAGCTCAGGGCCTGCCCCCTCCCCCAGCGCATGCTGCGCTCTAGAGCACCCTGTGGTGCCCTGTCCCCAATCTGGATTCCGGGCCCAAGGCAGCTCCTTAAGGTGACAGGTGGGGTGGGGTGCCCTATAAGAAACCTCAGCCCCCTGAAATTGCTGAGCACTCACCTCTGGGGCACCTGGGGGCCTGGGAGAACGTGACCAGCACAGGGTGAGAGCAGGGAAGTGGGTGACACCGCCGCAGGGAGGGGCTGCTGCCTCTCAGGGAAGTGCACCTGCTCTCAGCTGGCATCCAAGCCGTGCAGATGGCACCTGCAGTGCAGTGCCCATCTGAGGAGGGGCCACCACTGGGGTGCTTACATGGGCACATCTCCTGGGGAAATTGGGCCCCTTCCTCCTCCTCCTCGCACACAGCTGGTAGTCTCTGGGCCTATCTGGAGCCCGGTAGGGGTGAGCAGGGGCCTAGCTTGAGGCTCTTCCTGTCACCAATGCCAACTCAACTCCTGACAGCTGGGGGTGGAGGTGGGGACAGTGGTTGACGCCAGAGGCTGGGGGGCAGGGGTGGGGCAGTGCTGCAGTGGGAAGGCCTCCGGGCTGCCCTCACTTTGGGCAGATAAAAGAAGAGGGCTTCCAGGCACATGCTGAGTCTGGGCGGAGCTGTGATTTCAGGGGCCACTGTCAAGGTGGCTGCTGTGATTTGAGAACCTCGGATTTTTGGGTGACTGATTCCAGGAGGCTCTGGATGACTCATGCTGGTGAGTGTCGGCCATGCAGAGGATGGGGTGGTAAGGCCTAGGGGACCCGTGCATGTCTTCAAGCTTGGGATGACAGCCTGTCTTCCTGTGCCGCTGCAGGACGAGGCCCTACCAGGAAGCTTCGAGCCTGGGGGGGCCTGGCAGTAGGAGCCATGCTCTCGGGCTTCTGGCTCCTGCGGCTCCTAGGACCAGCCCCAGGGCATGTGCCAGCACCCCAGCCCACCCTCACCATTCTCATCTGGCAATGGCCCTTCACAGACCAGCCCCCAGAGCTCCCGGGTGACACCTGCACGCATTACGGCGTGGCCCGCTGTCTCCTGAGCACTAACCGAAGCCTACTGCCCACTGCCCACGTGGTAGTCTTCCACCACCGTGAGTTGCAGACCCGGCGGGCCCACCTGCCTCTGGCACAGCGGCCACGTGGGCAGCCCTGGGTCTGGGCCTCCATGGAATCTCCCAGCCACACACACGGGCTCCATCGCCTCCGGGGCATCTTCAACTGGGTGCTGAGCTACCGGAGTGACTCAGACATCTTCGTGCCCTATGGCCGCCTGGAGCCCCGCTCAGGCCCAGCACCCCCATTGCCACCCAAGAGCCACTTGGCTGCCTGGGTGGTCAGCAACTTCCAAGAGCGGCAGCAGCGTGCCCAGGTGTATTGGCAGCTGGCACGCCACCTGCGGGTGGATGTGTTTGGGCGTGCCAGCGGGCGGCCACTATGTTCAGACTGTCTGGTGCCCACTGTGGCCCGGTACCACTTTTACCTGTCCTTTGAGAACTCTCAGCACCGAGACTACATCACAGAGAAGTTCTGGCGCAACGCATTATGGGCTGGCACTGTGCCTGTGGTGCTGGGGCCCCCACGGGCCACCTACGAGGCCTTCGTGCCCCCTGATGCCTTTGTACATGTGGATGACTTCAGCTCCACCCGTGAGCTTGCGGAGTTCCTCAGCAGCATGAATGAGAGCCGGTACAGAGGCTTCTTTGCCTGGCGTGAGCAGCTGCGTGTGCGGCTGCTCACCGACTGGAGGGAGCGCTTCTGCACCATCTGTGCCCGCTACCCCTACCTGCCCAGAGGCCAGGTCTACGAGGACCTGGAGGGCTGGTTCCAAGCCTGAGCACCCACTGCCCTCGGGGGAAGCCATGTGGGTGGCAGGGCAGCAGGCCTCCCAGGCCACTGTGGGGCAAGCCAGAGTTACAGACCAGGAAGCCAGGAGGCAGAGAGAGCTACACTGGGCGGCCATGGAGGCTGGGGGTTGGGGGGCCTGGAGGGTGGCAGTGCGGGAGGGTGAAGCAGCTCAGGATGATGAAGGAGGAAAGGGGCTTAGGACGGCGGCTCTGCCCCAGAGCAGGGCTGGAAGCACCGTTTCGGTGGAAGAAGGTGGAGCAGCTCTTGGACTAGGGACATCCGGCTTGTGGTTTGGGAGGCCCAAACCTGGATCCTGTGACCCTCCCCACATGAAGCACCCTGGTCCCCTGTCCACAGTTCTGGCCTGGCGGCCCCAGACACAAACAATAAAGAGAGGAATGGGATTTTCAGGCGGGTGGGTCTGTCAAAGCGCTTCCCCGGGCTTCTGCCTCTGTCCTGCTCTGAGGGCCGCTCAGGGCACCTCGCCTGTCCCCCACCCCACCCCATCTCCCGGGACAAACAGCAGAAACCCCGGCGGACGCCCCATGAGGCTGAGGCGCCCATCTCTGGGTGGGGCTGGTGAGGGCAGGAGATCATGAGGGTGAGAGGCGGGGGGATCGGGCCGGTACTGATAAAGCTCCGGGTGGTGTGGCAGTGACCCCTCTCCCCTGCGGCTTGTGGGAAAGACCGCCGGAAGCCTCGGCCCAGCGCTGCCTCCCGGGCTGCCGGGTGAAGGGGTTGGGGGTGGTCTGAGGCCGGTGTGGGTGGGGCTGTGTTCCACCCACCTGCGGGGGTTCGCCTACCCCTGCAGAGGAGCCGGGAGGGAATGGGGGGCCCACAGAAAAAGGCTCAGACATTCCTGAGGGTGCGCTCTTCACGCATCCCAAGCAGGACGCCCACCGCCTTATCCTACAGCCCCAGGTGGCCAAGGGAGGAGAGGTTGATCCTGTCCCTCTCTGCCCTCTGCTACCCCCTGCTGGCCTCTTGTGGCACTGCTGACCTCCGGGCCGACCTGGCCTTGCAACAACAACCGCCCCTCCCGCATGCCTTAGAGAGGGCCGGGGTCTGTCCAGCAGGTGACCTGCCACTCGGTAGAGGGGACTGTAGGGCAGGCTGCTTGTGCAGAGGCTGGGCTCACCCCAGACACAAACGGACAAGCGAGCCACGTACAGAGGAGCAGCCTGCGTCGCCAGCACCCCGACTAGCAAGCACTTACTGGGTCAGCAGCCCCCTCAGGTTTACCCTTGCTGCTCAGAGGGTGACACCCTGGGCAGAGCATTGCAGTGATTTTTGTGTGTGTGTGATGGCTTGCTACACATCACAGGCTGGCCTCCTACACATCACAGGCTGGCCTCCTACACATCACAGGCTGGCCTCCTACGCATCACAGGCTGGCCTCCTACACATCACAGGCTGGCCTCCTACACATCACAGGCTGGCCTCCTACGCATCACAGGCTGGCCTCCTACGCATCACAGGCTGGCCTCCTACGCATCACAGGCTGGCCTCCTACGCATCACA